TTTTATTTTATTTTTTCATGCAGAAAGACAAATCTTAATTTGTTACAGGGCAACAGAGCTTATGAGTCAGGAGTCAGTTCATCATGCTTATAAGCGTTCAGCCCTGAAACAGACAGCCCGTGTTCCTTTTCATGTACTCGAATGAGCAGTGCCAACTTTACAACAGAAATGCCGTCGGATCTTTCTTTGGGTCATTTTTTCCCTCAAATGTCTTGTAAGGGTTTTTTTTTATTTAAGTCATAGGAAAACAATATTGTGCGTCATGCTTTCAGAGAAATTGAGTAATTTATGCACATTCCCTATATAAAAGTAGTTGAAATTATGTTTTTAAAGTTTCCCATTAATGTGTTCAAGGGAACATAATAAAATTATGAGATGAGAAAGCAGCAGATAGTCCAAGGCCAGATTTTGACTGTCTGTTTTGCATAGCTGGCGTGGCACTCCTCACCCCAAGAACCTAGGATTTCAGAAGTGGTCAGTATTTTTGATTCTCTTGCAAGAAAACAAAGAGTTTTAATCCTTTCCAGTGCCTCTGGTATACTAAAACTATAGTAAATCTTCCTGCAGCTACAACCACAAAAATAATGCTGCATCTAGCATTTCCTGTGGGAGAAAAAAAAATTTAGCCCTTTCAGAGCTGTTGAAGAACTTCCCTCTCTGACAAAGTCCTGATGCTGCTGTTGTTTTCACTTGAACTCAACTGTGATTTGCATCAATGAGATTTTGGGATACTTTTTTCTTTTTGGTTGCAAGTAAGAGATGATCTCTGATAAGTATGTCTTGAGGTTCTGTAAGCATCTGGACACTCCTGACAGGGAATGAGAAGAGAGCATTCCCTAAAGGCCTCCAGATCCTGGAAGCTGTGTGGATTGTGGAAAAGTCACTGGAAATCAGGACTGTCTGCAAATCCTTGGTTTCTCAACCTGTCTGTCGGGCAGAGTGCCACCACTGTCAGCAGTTGCCAAGGTCTCTGCAGCAGCAGTGTTGCCGATGTGGAAAATGCAAAATTCAGTCTTTTCCCTTCTTGTCTCCCCCATGTTCCCTGATGACAAGGTTGCTATTTTAAAAACTCATCCTTTTGGCTCCTCTGTTTGCCTTCTGTTTTTTGAAGTGGGAAGATGTGTTTTCCTCCTGTTTTAAAGCAATGACCAGGGCTAAGAACTTGCCTTTTAATAGTTCTCACATGTTCAGTTGAACCTACACAACTCAGTAATACCTATTCTCTCCTTTTTTAGGTAACCATCCCACAACATTGGGTATGGTCACCAGAGGGACTTCTGCTTCTGACTCCCCAGCAAATGAATGGGAGAAATAATATAATGTCCTTCTCTCCATGGCAAAAACCCCAAGACCATGAAAGTTTGTGGAAATGCAGATATGCTGGCTAAAAATACTTTGCTGAATACCATAGATTACTTTTGGTTTTGGCAATAGATACACCAGACTTCTGGTATCTGTTACGCTCCTTCCTTTTACACAAGTCATCATTAGAGCATTTATTCAGGATGCTAAAGATGGTGCCTCTGTTTCCTCCCTGCTTATGGGGTTCCTACTGGTACCTACTGATAGAGGGTCCCAACTACCAAACTACTGAGGTTCTGGTTTCTAGAATAATCATTGGCTATTTAATTATTTATACAAAGTGGAAGCATTTTAAGAGATGAAAACTAGAATTTCGCTCCTTCAGGAAAAGCATAGATACAGTAGTGTTGCAGAAGGAGGAATTGCAGGGTAGGATCGCTTGGAACTGATGAAGAAATTCTCTTAGTGTGCCACTCGGCCCAGGAGAGAGCTCGGATCTCTGACCTGCATTGCTATCAGGTGGATTAATTTGTGTACACTTACATATGCTGTAAAACATGATATGGGCACAGGCAGCATGCCTGGAAGTATGAGGATTAGCCCCACCTAGTCTGCTTTCAGATGAGGTTGTGTTGCACTTAGATTTTACTGGCTGGTGTTAACATGGTCACATCTGCCAGAAAAGACAGAGATCCTGATGAACAGTAACTTAAAAACTGAAAAATAAGTTCAATTAAGACACAAGAAACCTTACAGTAATTGTTGCAGTTCTTTCAGCCTTAGTTTGCTGTGCAAATAAAGAGTTAAATAGTTTAAAGGCAGTTTCCTTTGGAGAATGTTTATTTGATCAAGTTCAGTGTGGCTTAGACCCCAAATAGAAATACTAGCTTCAAACAGAGCACTACTATGAAAGTAGGAATAGCCTGTGGCCTTCCAGACCTCACAAACTGTGTTGGTTTGTTGCACAGAGTCAAAACACAGATGTCCCTTAAAACACATACACATTAACTCAGTGTATTTCGTACACCACCAGTTTTTATCTCAAATCTGCTTCTCTGCCCAGTCATTGGGGCTGTGCCGAAGTCGAGATCCTGGATGAACTATAGACTTCTCAGTAAAAAGCGTATATGGTAGGATGGGACCATCCAAGCTATGTAGATCATTAGAGAACAAGGTTTGAGTGCTACTGCTCCTGTTAAGTAAGCTCGAAGTACTGCATCCTTTGGATTTTGGAACACTGCTTATCTTTGCATCTGGAGTCTCTTTACGTTGCAGAAAGCAGGGTGAGGAAGAACCCAGCAGGTGCTTCTCTTTTAAATGGAGGCCAGAAGATCTTGTTAGCTGGCCGGGTGTTCGTTTCGTGTTTTTTCAGGTCCTTAGCTGGCTAAATCTTCAGACTTCTAATAAATGCACTAAGCATTAAAATGTATTAATACATGATGAGATAATACCAAGTTCATCCACTTCATGTAACAGTCAAACCCATTCAGATGCTATTAGTACTGGAACCTGGTGTCAAGCCAAATCTGGAGCGTTATCTTTGATCTATCTCCAGATCTTCGTTTTATTTGTAAACATCCAGCTAATGACAGACTTCCTCTGACTTTTATGAAGTGGAAGAAACTGCATCCTTTGTAATATCTCTGAAGTGCTTCAGCTTTGCAGATGGTCGCGGCAGGGAGGTGTGAGCCCCATCTGGTGGTTAACGGGAAACGTGCATAGTTCTGTTTAAAAAGTGCAAACGTTCCTCCAGTTGAGGAGAGTTTACTGTGTGAAGAGTGAAGCAGATCTTCTTGCAGCTGTACGTTCCTAAAACAACTTCTGTTTTTAGAGTAGCTAGAGGATTTTAGAGGCTGGGAGGAGGGTGCAAGGTTTTACCTCTGATCTAGCTTACCGTGGGCTAAAGCTATTACCAATGCCAGCAGTTCTCTGATGTTCACAGTTCTGTATGTACACCACACCACAGTTGGCACTGGTTAACAGTGTTTTTGCAGTCTCATCGGAAAAAATGTAATGTAGTATTCCCAGGCAACCCACCTTCCCACACTCAGAGGTGGTCCCACACAGCACAGTCGGTGTAGTTGAGGGTGGTGGTGTAAAGAAGATCAGTCATGCCGCGTGAGCGGTGTGGGATCTGCAAGTAACAGGAGTCTTGGACTGTAAAACGCAGGCTGGCATCTTAATAAACAGCGATGTCAAACACTGATGTTGCCTGGAGAAAAACAGCCTTCACATGCATGCTGTAGTTAGAATGCTTTTTCTTCTCCCTTGTTAGTTTACAAACAAAAAAAAAGGCGTTTCCTGACCTTTGAGCTAGTCAGGTAGCAGTTACTTTGAGATAAGAGCATCAGTCCAGTGAATTCCCCTCCAAGATCCACGAGTGTTTTAGGTAGACACATGGACTTGCTGCCAGAACCAGCAGTACTTTGAAGCTAGCAGTTTGCCCAAGACCTGCTTCCCCATGTTCACACTGGCCTCCTGGCATGAAACAAAAGCTGTTTGTCCCAGACTGCTTTTTTGCCCACCATCAAGTATGTGACGTGGCACAGAGGGCAGATACAATAGACGAACAATTCTGGGCCTGGCACACGCTGTGAGGGCCTGGCCACATGTCACATGGGGCATCCTGTAATGCTCACTGAAGTGTGGAGCAGCGCTCTCAGGGCTTTCCTGTCAAAGGTGTGCCAGGAAATTCAGCCCTGAGCTGGCCTTGAGGACCCTCTAGCAGGTAAGTAATGCAGACAGCTGATAAACCTGGCTTCACATGCAGCCTTGAAGCCTTTCTTGCTCTGCAATGTAGGCACAGCTGTTTGGTCCAGGGCTGCCAGTGTACATAGCAACATCAAGTGTAAATGTGTAAATCGGCCAGAAGTGGGACAATCATATACTTTGTACAATGTGATTTACATACCCCGAGAAAGAAGTCAGTGTACCAAGAAAAAAGCCCCTGAGTATTGTCTTTAAAAGTTACATCCACATGTTTCCAATTTCTTGACTGTTCGTGTCAGATACAAAGCTGCTCATATTTTTAATAAATTAGTTTTTTCGAAAGAGACTTAAAGGAATTGTAAATATTTATGTAATGTATCTGCATTTAACTTAAAATAAGAATTTGGCGTGGAGAGTTAAGTAAATCTGTAAGTTACCTCTGAGTTAGTCAGGGAAAAAACAAAACAAAACAAAATGAAACAGAGGCAATATGAAGCATTAATAAGTATTCCAGGGTGGGGGTGTTCCAAGCTATGAGAAGTCCAGGCTGAGGGGAAATAATACTCGTGCAGTTTTTGAGCATCCACTAAGCCAAGCCATAAACCACTGCTGGAAAGTAACACAGAGTATCAAAAATAACTTCTGGGAAGCTTGGGAAGTGAAGCTTTTATTCAGCAAATCTTTAGCTGTTTTGAAAATGGAAGGCAAAGGAGAAAGAAACAAACAAAAGTTTCTGAAACAAGATGAAAACATTGTTTAAGGTTAAGTTGTGTTTTGGTGGGGTAGGGGTTGAAGGAAATGAACTGTATGGCTTTTAAACAGAGTTCCTGACTGTGGTGGGTGCTCTGAATATAACTGAAGGATGGATATTTAAAGCAAAACCACACCATAGTGAGGTGGGAGGGACCACATCATGCTCGCAAATATAGTACTGGAGTGTGGGCTTCTGACTTTTAATATTTTTCTTGCATTTCTTTTCTGCATGGCAGTAGTGAAATAGGGACTTCTAAGCTTCTGAACAACTGAGAGAACCAGGTTTGAAGAAGACATGAGGAACAACTGGTCGGCAAAAGATTTCATAAAAACTCAGAACTGCGTGTGCCAGATCTGAATTGGCACCACCTTTGCTTTTTTCACATACTGCAGCAGTCGCAAAAGGCATCAAAGCAATCAAATTAGAACATGCAGTAAAAGCCGTTTTGGACTCCTCTCTGTTTTATAAAACTTGCTTTCTTGTGACTATTATTTACACCTGTTAAAAACAAACTTGAAGTCTCCTTTCACGGAGCAGACAGCCAGCCGAAAGAGGCAGATGCCAGGTGTTAAGGGCTGCACTGAAATGAGTTTGCAGAATTTGCTATTCATGTGCTGGAGTGCTACTTTTCTGAAATGAGGCTTATTAGACTTTCTGTCAAAAACTGTTTAGATTTTTTAGTTCAAACATTAGAAGTGTATACTTGTGAACTAAAACTTACGTCTTCTCAGACAGTTACAATGATAAACTATCAAATGTTAAAAAAGAGGGAGGGAAAATAAAGAGTACAAGGTGAAAAAAAATCTTAAAAACTGAGGACAGAGGGTCCCTGAGGAAGGACAGGATGGTGAGAAAGATCCAGCTGACCTGATTCCCTCTGCTGCCATGATCATCATTTGCAAGCTGAAGAGGACCTTCCATGGAGCACAGTGCTTGTATGTGGAGAATAAAGAAATAGTGCTCTGGTTTTATTACAAGAATGGTGAAAAATTTTGACCAACAAGGAGAGGAGTAAATGTGAAATAATCTTCACAGGGCACAGGGTGCACCTTGCTCTGGATCTAAACCTTGCAAAAGCTGGCTTGAAGAGAAGAATCAGGCATTCATGTTCAGATTTGAGCATTTTAAGAATCCTAACGTTTCCAGCTAAATTAATGGGAGAAAAAAAAAAACCTAACCAGAAACAAGGCAGTAAATATTTCAAATAGGGCCAGCATGGATTAAAAAAACATTAATTTCCTTTGCTTCTCCCAGACAACAGTGGATCAGATTGAGACGTGTAAGCAGACTAAACATGCTGATCTATATTCTGTGGTAGTTACACACCTTACTAATTCTACTCATGACTATAAAAGGATGTTTCATTGTTCAGTATTATTGTTATCTCAAGAAGAGTCTGTCTATAATTTAATATATAATCGGCATTATTTTCATTACTGTTGTTATGAAGTGTGTAAAATATTGTCTGTATTGCAGCTTGTATAGGGCATGTGTCTGTGCTTGCTTTACCCTTTTCGAATTTATAAAGTTGCTATACAAATGCAAGAAAAGATGTTCAGATATCTTTGAATGTGGTTGCTTAATCTGATTATGTAGGCCCAAACATTTCAGAGTACAGATGTTGAGGGTATCGGCTCTATTAACACATAACACCTTAAACATTGATAAAGACATTTTAAAAGCCTTCGGAGCAGTATTGGAATGCTGACATGTCTGTCTCAGTGCCTGTGCTGGAGCAAAGAGGAAAACAGCGCGTATCTGGACAAAGCCAGGTACCATTGGGGACTCCTCAGAGAGAAGGCACAATATAGCTGGGATATCTTCCAGAAAATGGGATGTTCTTTCCATAGAGAACAGGAGGGACCTTCATGGTAGGACCACCACAAAGCAGAGGAGAGAAGGGAAATAAGTTTATAGCATCACCTAAAGACAGGCCTTCAATAGTACACCAAGTGTAGGACATCTGGAACAGGCTGTGACTGTTCTGTAACTAAGCAATTATTTGTAGTCTGTGTAGAGTATCAGTGGAGACATTCCAGGCTAGTTTTCATCATCTTTAAAGCTTATTCTGTGCTTCGATACAGTATTTTTAATAAAATATTCTTACAAATCTGCTTATTATTCTTATTTAATTTCATCTTATACCTGAGTTAATAACAGTCCCGGCAACAGAGTGAAGTTCCATTTACCACCTGCTTCATCTGCTCCTATGTTTTTCCCACTCACCTGATAAGAATGACAAGGGGCAAAATGAGATGAGTAAAAATCAAATAATCATAGGAGCGAGAAAGTAAGACAAATTTGTATCGCTGTTACAGTTCAATTGTTAGCAAAATTCTTCACACTAAGTGTTTAGTGAATCTGAGAGATAATCACATTATATTGATCTGTGAGTATAAAGTATTGGTCTTTGTCTGTGTTTACACTACACCATTTCCCTTGTTTAAGAGTTACCATAATTTTCCAGCCTTACAGTTACTGCCAATAATTACAGGATGATGTTTAACCCCATTCACAGCAGTTCTAGGTAAAATTCTTTGTTTTCATTTATCCACCACCTGGACCATATAGAGTATCCTCTTAATATCTTCAAACAAGACCAAGCAGAGTTCAAGTACACCAGAAGATAAGGTTAGAATTCAAAATAATCCTGGCAAGGTACAGACATGATCTGAAAACGTAAGATGTTATTTAATAGGAACAAGTGCAAGCTGGAATCAGCTGTGCAAGTAAAAGAACCGCTGCTCCATGGTCCATTGAAAAGCATCTACGAGTTATTTTGGATCGAATTCTGGAAATGAGTCTGCAGCATCATGCTGTTGCAAACAAAGGTAAAAACTGGAATTTCTAAACTGGAGCATAATCTGCTCCTTCAGAACTGCTCAGGTGTGAGCTAGTAATGTCTCCAGTTTTGATCGTGGCATTTGAAAAGTAAGATGCAAGTCGTGTGCAGAGAGCCCAGGAGAAAGCAATGAGAATGTCCAGAAGCTGAGAAGACTTTGCTTTTGAGCACAGATTGAATGATTTTAGCTCATCTTACAGAAGAGATGGTAGAAGGGAAACATGATTTTCGTGTCTATAAAAGCTGGTTGCAAAGAAAAATGGAATAACATGTTTTCTCATATCCACACTCGATAGGAATAGAAGTAATTGCCTTAAATGTCAAGAAAGGAAATTTTGGTTAGACACAAAATTAGACTAAATGACCTACTGAGGTCCTTTTCTGATCTGATTCTATGATTGCTTGCAAACTACCTGCTTTAAAGTCCCTTATTTATTACTGTCAGTAGAGCTGGCACGGGCTGCAAGAAGAGGAGGCGGCAGTGATAGGAAAGCAAAGAACTGCTGACTGCCTGAAACGCACAGCACACCAGTTTATCTAGTTAGCACCAGTGATACTAACCTCAGCTTTTAATCATGCCTCAGCAAACTGTCAGAAGCCTATGTAAATAAATGCACTTTAAACCCACTTCATTATAAAATAATTATTCCTTGAAACATCGAGCATTAGTTTAATCAGTGTTGGCAATTTCCATGATTTTACTGAGTCTAATTAATCTGAGGCAGCCTGGTTTTAGTTGTGAGATCGTGTAATCAACTATTTATTAAAAAAAAATTAGCTCTGCAAATTACGTGGAAAATCCTAAAAGTGTAATCTGAACATATGCTAAAGATTAAAAAAAGCCAGAAGGTGAATAAAGCCACGTGTGTTTTTTACGTTCATAATTTTAAACTAAGTTTATAATTTTAGGAGATCTGACTCATGATTTTTGAACTTCTGGTTTGGCAATACCAAATTACTGTACCCTATATTCTGCTGTTCCAAGTATTTCCATACTACTGATCCTGCATTTGCGTAATTTGCCGAAAACACGTTATACTGATTTGTGGAACTTTATTTTGTTATTTACAAAAACAAAGGAACACTTATTTAAAAAAGATCATGTATTGTGGCTGGCTTTCAAATTAACAAAGAACATCTGTGTGCAAAAAGCGAGGCAGTTTATAAAAACAAAACACCACAAGAGAGTTACATAGTTTTCCCCCACACAGACTACGATTTTTAACACAACAGCACCTTGTCAGAAGAATCTATTGTCATTTCATACACTGGTAGTTCTTGTCTGAATTCCAATTACTAGACATATATTTGCAAATACAAACGAGATGAAGAATTTCAGTGATGAAAGGGTATTATGAAAAAGTATTATTCGTTCTTAGAATAGCTGTTGCTTAGACTTTTCTGAACTAATTGCTGTATTATAAAATAATTTCATTTACCCTCACTAATACAATCTGATTTATGCAGTTTTCTGGATAGTTTTACTAGCAACATGGATACGAGGGAAACGGATACCAGAATTTAAGGTCTAAGGCCTTCTGATCATCAAACCTGAACAGATCATTGCATTTCAACTTTATCATTTCAGTGATCCAAGCGGCTGATGTCTGATTGAACTGTAACGTGTTCACTCCTATTTTTATACTACATTGCCTTATGAAATATGTGGGGAAGAAAATCTTCCTTTTATCGAGGTAAAGATGAGGATTGAGTTGTCAGATCTGCCCCAGGTACTGAGCTCTTGCTTCACTGAAGAAATCTAAATATCATCTTCAGCTCTGGCTGGGTGGTGTCATGGAGAATAGCCTGCAGCATATTACATAACGCTGCCAAACAGGAGACATGGGTACGTTATCGATCCTAAACACACATAAATGGATCAGAAAAAGGCCTCCTGCTTCCAGAGGTGCTGACTTACTGTTCTGGAAGTTACTATGAAAATATGGCTTACAGATTCAGGATGGGGGAATAACAGCAAATGTTTTGTCAAAGGGAATATCAGACATGTGCCGAAGCCCTCACCGTACAGCTCACTCTTTAATTTCTGAACCAGTCTGTTTGGCTCACCTATAACATATGAGGCAACATAAAAGAAAATCATGTGGCTCTTCTCATATGAGAGGATGACTGCATAGATGAGTTGGTTCACAAATTGAGCTGCAAGTCTTGGAGAACTGCTGACAAAAAGCAGGCTTGTAATAGCTCTGCTGAGAAGAGAGAGTAAGTCTAACGAGGTTTTAGAGGTTGCTTCCTCTAGTTAGACTGGACGTTCTCCAAGGACATCGGTAAGAGATGAGAAGTGATGGCAAAAATATCACGTGAACTTCTGATTAGGAGCCAAAGCTTAAAAAGCGGCTCAGACCTATAGGTATTGCTGTACAAGAAGAAAACAGCACCTGCGTGCTCAGCTGGAAAATAAATACTTCTGCAACAGGCTAAATGAAACACTTGGTAGCTTGAGTCTACAGATCTTTTGATTTTTCCTGAGAATGGCCACGTGTGTGTCATCTACACCATTAGCATTAAAATGGTATGCTCACACACTTCTCCGAGATCTTCTCCCTAAATTCACTATAGCAAAACAACAGTTCAAATGATGAAATAAATAGGGCTGAGGGAGTACTGTCAGGGTAAGCAGTAATCCAGTCAGTGCAAACACCTCTTTAGCAGGTTATCAGCACATCTGGGTATCAGCACAAAGATACCAGGGCCTTCCTAGTTATTGGACCAAGGAAACCCTAAACAAGTTTTGTCTGGAGCTGTTGTGTGTATTTTGTGCCTGGGCTGATAAAACATATAGGTAAAAGCTTTGGGCCAAATTAATGAAATGTCACTTCTAAATCTGATAAAACCTGTTTGATTACAGCTACACTTAAATGAGATATCTAATTTTGCTGCAAAGACTGCTTATTGTGCTGATCAATATTGTGTTATTTCTTAGCCTGTTTGTTCTCTCCATCTCTTGTTTCTATACATACGTTTTTGAGGCAAGAATCCTCTTTTTACTCTGAAATAAC